TCGAGACTTTTTTTTTTTTTTTTTTTTTTTTTTTTTTTTTTTTTTTATTTCTAAACCAATGAAATCGACTATCTGCTTTGACACAGGTTTCTTCAACAACTACATGCTGGAGATATTAAAAAAAAAAAAAAAAAAACATAGTAATGTTTCAGTGGACAAAAAATAACAGTGATGGTCAATTAATTGTTATTTAGAGTCCATCAAGGGTATTTAGATACTGTCCTTTTTGGGTGATGTGTCCTCGAACCGTCACCTCGTCCGTACGAAGCAAGACTATTTGACAACTGGCCTATCACAGGTGACATTGTTAACACTCAAACATTCAATATTTATGAATCGATGTAAGAAATTTTGAAGATTGACATAACACTTTTGATTGTGATATAGGAACGGAGCAACAACTTTCCAAAACGCTTTAAACTTTTGATATTAAATCAATCAGTAGTTATCATCTACACACAAAAAAAAAAAAAAAAAGAAAAAAAAAAGGAATTCTGTCCTATACATTTGATGGTGGAGAGACGGGCTTACGTAACCAAGGCTCAAATCTCCCGACCTTTCCTTTGTTCTTGCCACACGCAACAACCAAGTGAAGGAGCTCCGAACCCTGCACCTATCACCACGACAAATAAATAAAAAAAATTGAAATTTAACATCATAGGTTTACGTCATGGGAATTACTACAGGGACAAAGCATACCGTTGAGCAACGGGGCAAACGTGTATCACGCGGAGCGTTAATAATTCAAGGAGGTATATATGTATACGTGGTAAAAGGCGTCCGACTCGACTTTCTCCGCGCACGGCGTTGCCGCTTTCCGATTAAAAGTTGCGCAATTTACGTTTAACGTAAGAACGCAGATGCCACTGATTAAGTTTGTCCAACACTAATAAAATTACCCTCCTCCCCCCCCTTTTTTTTTTTTAAATTCAATTTTAACGAGCCCTGCAAAGTTTTCAGCGATACAAACACGCAGAGACGTAAATAATTACAATGCACGCGAGCAACAGCTCATCACCAGCTATATGTGAGATGAGCGTGACGAAACAAACCTTTTTCGAACCTCGTGATCCATTGGGGCAACAGATGCTTTTACGATTTTGATTTATTTTTTTTCCATCTGTACAAGTTTTTGTTAAAAACATACGGCAAAAATTATTTCAATAAAAACAATGTGCTAAAATTTGAAAGGAAAAACAATTTCTGAAAAGAAAAACAAAAAACGATATAGGTATTAGTAGTACTTGGCAATAAAACGTATAATGTGTTGCACGTATCTGCTAGAAAAAAAAAAAAAAAATTTACTTTACAGCAACTATGGGTACAGCAACTTTGATGACGATTTACAGTTTGGAATAGTTATTGCTATTGCTCTTTACACCCACCATATACATTTCATAATTACAGCGTTCGATTTACACTTTTTTTTCAGCAATTTTAATATTATCTCCCTTTTAAGAAACAATTATTTATTATTATTTTTTTTTTTTAAAGTAAATTCATTAAAGTTTATTGGGAGTCTATATACCTTGGCGTGCACGCGGTGAAAATTCATGAAGCACAACCTTGCCCCCTCGCGCAGAGTTAAGTTCAAAACCAAGCACGTCTCGCGAGCGAGAGAGAGAGCGACCCTGCAGGGAAACACAATTATGCAAAGGAAAAGAAAAAAAAAAAAAAACTTACAGGGTACATAAAAGAGAGAGAGAGAGAGAGAGGTGTTGGAGGACATGGAAACAAGTTGTAGTCACGAAAGCCCATCAATCAAATAATTAGCTGTGCCGGTGAATTAATTAGAATAAACAAAGACGTCGAGGAGCAGTCCTAATGCACACGAAGCTCGGCAGAGAGCATCATGCACACAAGTATAAATATTTCTTTTTTTTTTTTTTTTTTTTTTTTTTTCCGTTACCATTCGCAAGGTCGTGCATTGCTTATCGAGGAATATATAGAAAATGTTCCCCGGGTTGATCGATACTGTCAATTTTCGCTGTCGTATTTGTTTTGAGCACGTGTTTGCTTTTAATTAACCCTAAAACTTTTATGCTCGGGGATAACGACTATTAAATACGTGACAACAAAAGAAAAAGATAAACCCATCCTTAACACTTAACCGTAATATTTGCTGTACAAACTATTAAGGAAAAAAAAAAAATAATATATGTTTCATCCCCCTTTGATGATCCACGTGGTCGAAACATGGATTTCGATGATACACAGAATTACATGGATCTTCACCTTTATGTTTATTTATAAAAGGAAGTAAAAGAAGTGTTCATAAATTTTGTAGAAACATTTTTTATGCCCGTGAGTGTACTTGCACAGAAAAATATACATTAGGTGAGTATGCGGGTGGTGTCACGTCAATCGAGGGTAAGTTAAAATGTACGACGACGAGGAAAGACGAGGGTATTTTACACAAGTGAGTGCGCGATCGAGTTCAGGGCCACGGTCCCGCACCTCCTCTCGCCTACGCTATGCACGTATATATAGTGTGCCCACCTGCCCATTTTAACCCCCCCCCCCGTACTATGTATATACTATATATACAAGCGCGTGTTTTATGTGGCTGGAACGTACTAAAGATGATTTTTCCTCCCCAGTATAATGTGGGGGAGGGGGTACAGTTAGGTGCACCTATGAGACACTGTTTTTTTTTGGGGGGGGGGGAAGGGGAGGCACGTATTGCATCGACAGGGGGTACTTGTATCATGTACTCAAATACTCTATACTGTTTTCGCTGTGAAAGGGACGTTTTAAGAGTTTTATCATCATCTGGTGCACATATAGGCTACAGCATAACACCCCCAACTTACCCCCTTTGAAAGCTCCGCTCTAAAATTTTTTTTTTTTTTTTTTTTTTCCTAACTCTTGTACGACCTAAATAGTAGGAAAAAAAAGGAGACAACGAACGCGCGTGCGACTACGTCTCGTTGAAACTGTTTGCCCATTTCCTAATCTTTTTTCCACTTGATACTGCCACGGCCAGTTGGTATTATCATTATCGCGGCAAAGCAGTTGTTTTTTTTCTGGTAACGAAAATTGATTTAAACGCGACTCTACGTGCAATATATGTATATGCTTTTGTCTGTATAGCACGTGATACACGTGAGGGTCGCTGGTCTTTCCGAGGCAAAAATAAATCATCACTGCCAATGATGAAATTTTGCAAAACAACAAATTCACTATGTACGTGTGCGCGTAAATGATGTAAACGTGACGCAAGTATAGAACCAAGTTTCCGGATGTAACCAAAGACATAATATTATTCCCGATCGGCGCATCAGCCAATACCAGAAACGGCACAGCCGCTCCGATATAAATTCGCCGAGTTTATCTCATATTTTGATACACACACGCGGCCACCCGTCAATCGCTCGTGCACGTAAGATAAAGCTCGGGTCAGGGATGCTGCGCGTACCAATATAGGTACATATAACTAACTCGAGTTTTCATCTTCCTTATATAGCTCGAATATTATGCACGTGTGTGCGTGTGCTGTAATATTGCACGCACAATATGTACGCGTATCGTATATGCATTTTTCGTGTGCACCCATTGAAATCACCGGGTGATTATGGCAAGTGGCACGCAAGTATTTATCATTTTGAGATAGGCTGTTTATTGCTTTGTGCACGAACGCAAAGTGTATTTTTTTTTTTCAAAAATAATTTAAACGCGTTATCGCGCAAAGAGAGTGTGTACGTATACTCACGCGATGTTCTCGAGTGATTGTCGGAAGAAAAAGGGAAAATCTCAATTGTGCATTTTAATTCGTCGCGAGCTCGCGCAGGCAATCAAAGCGCCAAGGAAAGGAAAAAAAAAAAAAATGTACGAAGCTTTGCAGTGACAAAGAAAGAGCCCTTTGCAAAAGAGCTTCGCGAAGCACATCCAACAGCTCGAGTGTCGCAAAGCAGGTCCTATAATGTATGTGCATATACTATTAGTACCTTTGCCGTTTGCTTTATAACGCGGTGGTGCACATGTACAGTATAAACGACGAGTGTTTTGCTGTAATTAGCGACGCGAGAGCGAGCGAGTGCTGGTTCGTAGGCGAGGAAAAAGAGATAAACGAAAATGGCCAATTACAGCGAGAGGAGCAATTAATTTGGTCCGACCTCGTGGATGTTGGGGACTGAATGAAGGGAGAGATAGAGAGAGATAGTTTTTCGTGATTTGTGCGATTGACCGAGATGCGATTCGCATGTTTATGGGGCTTGGTTTTTTGTTTTGCAGTAATATTGTGTGCGAAGAGTATGAAAAAAAAAAAAGGGAAAAAAGTTGATCGGGACTGTCATTATTTTGAGAACAGAATCATTGGCTATAGTCGTTTGTGGGGAAACTTCGGGGCTTACTCTGTAGATGACAGCAGCGGTGCAAAAAGGAAAGAAAAGAAAATTGAATCATTAAAACATTACCAGTTGAGCACAATTGGATAAATTTACTAAAAAATTTGAAACATAATAATTCTCACGCGATTGATAATCGACAATGGTGGTATGTACAACATCGGCATGGTATATTTCATAAACTTCGAGCTAAAGCGACGAAAGGGTTTAGAGACAAAGCAATGAAAAGCCGCCCACAAACAAACACTGGTTACATCTAGCTCCAACTGGCTAATGGCCAAAGATTCAATATTGACCGCGCAGTATCTTTTCGGATCGATTTATAAATATACATTCTCTATGTGTGTATAATATCCATGCTGGTGGATACGGAGGCTCGTACGGAGGTCGTAATTTATAGCGCATCAATAATTTTTTCTTCGAGTTCAAATCGATTTTTTTTTTTTTTTTTGGCAGACGTAGCTCCCAAGTGTGCTGTTTTGCGTTGCATGTGGAAAAAATGTCACGAGCATTACTTTTCAAGCAAAACATATATTTTCGTGCTTTCAAAGCTACCGTTGATATTTATTTTAACTGCTGCTCAAAAAAATTCTCAATGTTGAGCAACACTTTTACTCCGACAATCCTGCACATTATCTTCCGTGATTTGGCTTCCGTCGTGGTATTTATCGACAAATTCGAATTCCTGAGACGACTTGTTGGAAAATTGCAAACGTTACAATATTTAAACGCAAAATAATCGTTAAAGAGGATAAACAAAATATACCCATGTGGTGTCAAGTTCTTCCCGCAGTTTGAGCTTCTTCTCGAGCAGCTCGTTCTCAAACTCTTTCACGCTGTTTTCGCGAGCCTCGCACTCCTGTGCACACGCATCAAGTGATAATATTTAAATAAACGCCAAAAGTCGTCGCTGTTCCGTTAATTACCTCACCTTGAAATGTAGGAGCCTGTAGCCGAGGTATTCGATAGGATTGCGGGGCTTCCTCGTCGCGATTTCGCGCATGGTAAGCGGCAAAATTTTGGCAAAGTGCTCTTTCAAATACTCACTGCCGCAGTAGTCGTTTTTTTTGGAAACTTCGGTCCCACCTTCAGTAAAATCATAAAAAAAAGTTCGTTTGCTTCGTTTTCGGGGAAATCAATGTTAATACAGAGGTTACTTGCAGTCGCAATCACAATCACAAGAGTCGTCGGAACTTTCGTTTTTTTTGGAAGCTTTTTCGACATTTGCCGTGTCCCTGCGAGGAAATCCTTGACAGTGTGCTTCGCTTGAAAATGATTGTCACGAAATTTTACTCAAGCGATTCAATGATAAAATAAAGGTTATACAAATATTTTACTCTGTTATTTTCTCCATATGTGTCTCGTCTTTTTTCTCACTTAACGAATTTTCAACCCAGTTTTATTGCAGATCGCGGTTTTTTTTTTTTTTTATCACAATCGATTACTTTTTGAAGTTATGTGGTATCGTGGATACAACTTATGCATTTGGTTCACTGTTTGTACCACGTGCTCGGCAAACTCCAGTCGTGCGAAAAGACAGAACTAGTTAAAAAAAAAAAAAAAAAAAAAAAAAAAACTGTTTAAATACTATTGCTTTCGAAAAAGTACATGAAAATAACACGAATAATAAGAAATTTTAGTTGAAAAATGAAGCAAAAATGTCAGAATATCGAAGTTCCAACAGAGACTTCGTAAGTTGTTAATATGTAAATGAAAACGAACACTAGCACGCTTACGCGATCCTAAGTAGATGATAAAATGTGGGTAAACAGGAAGCCTGTCTCTCCAAGATAAATGCCAAGGAAACCTCGAGTGCTTCAAATTTGTTGTTTCTCGCGATACATTTTCACAAAATTACTTGACTCAGCTTTTTTTTTTTCTTTTTCAATTTTTTCGTTAATTAAATCTTGAAAATAAATGCTGTGGGAAACCAGACTTATTTTCAATTAGCATTTTTCCTTATTTAAGTATTATTCGGTGAGTCAAAAATTATTCTCGTTTTAAACCGTTACACGTTCGTTCCTCATTATAGGTTTACATGTTTTCAATTACTATTTAATCTTTTCCTCCGATAAGATAACGTATACGTGCCGCGAATAGCCAGCGCTAACGACTTGAAATTCAGAAATGTACGGAATCGTTTGGACATAAATTGTACACGTGACTCTTTTACATTACAATTTCAATAAACTTTTAAAACTAGTTGAAGAAAATTTGTGCAAAAACCAAGGAACCTCTTTGGCACCTGACGCATCACCTGCCGATCACCGAGTCATTACCTACTACGTATAATTTATCTTTACCCGATTTCCTAGTGCGGCCGACTGACGGTCACGCGATGCAGACGTACTACGATCTATACATGTATATATATACTTACAAATCGCGTCGGCTGCTGCTGTTTTGCTTCGAAAAATTGGGTGGTTTCAGTGAAGTTTGAGTTTTTTAAAGGGAAAAAAAGGAGGAATAAAAAAGGCGTCGATAGTTACAGTTTGCTAATGTTTGCTAAACGCTTGCTGCTCCTTCGTTTTTGCATCGTACCCGTCCATTCTTTTGTACTCGTCAGGTGAGAGACATGCATAATCACGCTCGATTCCGTAACTGTGTGCAAAGTTTTTTTTTTTTCTTTTTCTTTTGTTGACGTCGACTTCAACTATACATAACCTATTACTCTAGTTTGTATCCAGAGTACACACTGTGGCAAATCTGTACAAATTTATTACACGAAACTTGAGTGATAAACCGATCTGTGTTGTGTGTTTAAACATTAAAATCGGTACACTTGACAAATAATTGGGTGATTTTGTATTTCAATCTTAAAAAAGGTTATTTAAACATTTTCGTGCTAGAAAATTTAGAAAATCAATTACACGATGCATCTACCTATTCATGGCCTCTAAATTTCTGTTTCTAAGATAAACAGTTGGTGTTTAAAATTTTTCTTCAAAGTGACAAGTTTCCAAATAATTTTTGTGATTAGGTATTTCGATTGAGTCACTGTTAATTGTGTGCCAATCGGATCGTTACTTGCATTACTTGTAAATAAACGGTAAATTACAAAGAAATTACATTTTTTTTATTATTTACGGTATACATTTGTTTTGTTCGCCTTTTAAAACCACATAATATTTTTAACTTCACACCTGATTCGTACGCAATTCAATTTTTTGGGTCAATAGTTATAATAATTCAACAATAACGCGTTGCCAATCCGTTCATTTACTGTATTGTTTTTTACTGGTCTAGATTAACAGGTAGACTGAAACGCGCAAAAATCAATGTTTTTCCTAGAACGGACAAAAAAAGTTTTTTTTTATTTTTTCTCAACAACCAACTGTACTAGACAAGAAAAAATTACACCTCATGAGAAATTAATCAAATTACATTAGTCCGAAATTGTTATTATTCATAACAGTAACTTGTGCGGTAGTCAGCTTGTTAATGTTGACTATTATCGAAAGTGTATACACGTAGCGTTCGAGTTATTGTCATGATTATTTTTATTTGCAACTTCTGACGCACTCGCGATCGTTAACTAAACGTGGTAAAAACTATATTTCCTTGTCCGATCTCGTCTGGCAGTGGCTATTTATTTTTTATTTTTTCCAGTATTTTAGCCGATCTGCAACGCACGTTTGATTAGCAAAAGAAAGAGATTTTTATACAACCTCGTTAATCTGCTGGTATTTGTGGTCCAGTGTAACAATTAAGTGTCTTGATATAGTCGATGATTTTCGATTGATTTTGACAAGGAACCATCGACATTTGGTTGTAGAAAAGTAACAGTAAAACCAAAGGAGTCATTTTGATATTTTGCAAAAAAAAAAAAAAGTCAAAATGAAATCGATGCATCAAAGCACCGAGTCTGGATCCGGCGACAGTATTGCAGCGTAAGGACTTGTTTTTTTTCCTACTAAAAAAATGTTGCTCAAGTAAAATTAAAACCTTATTAATACCACGCGATAACCGTCACTGTTTGTCTTATATTATTTTTTAATCGTAACAAATTCTTGAATCATTGCTGTCACGTGACCAAAATATTAAATATTCATCAAGTTCAAGATTACTTTCAATATTATATTGATCAAACAAGACATATTTTACCATCCACCAAACGATTCGAGCGTATTTGACTTGAATCTTAGGAATAATAATGAAAAAAAAAAAAAAAAATCCACTTACAAGCGAACGAAAATGTTATTTCCAGGAACAAGACCACGGAAATAATGTCACCTGCGACGAAACACCAGCCGAAGGAGCCGAGGCGCTTCAACAACATCATCAAGTCGCCGAACGACAAAAGAGACTACAGAGGACTGATTCTGGACAATAAGCTGAAAGTGTTGCTCATAAGCGAACCGGGGACGGATAAGAGCGCAGCCTCGTTGGACGTAAACGTCGGTCAGTCCATGAAAAGTTCGACCCCAAGAGTATATCCTTTGGGGGAGGAAAAAAAAAGGCACTCAAACACGTAAATTCCCGTTTTGCAGGATACCTGTCCGACCCGAAAGAGATCCCGGGCCTGGCGCACTTCTGCGAGCACATGCTCTTCCTCGGCACGTCCAAGTACCCCGAGACGAACGAGTACAACCAGTACCTGTCCCAGTGCGGGGGCTCGAGCAACGCAGCCACATACGCGGACCACACCAACTACTACTTCGACGTGGACCCGGAAAGGTTCGAGGGGGCCCTGGACAGGTTCTCGCAGTTCTTCATATCGCCCCTGTTCACCGAGGCGACCACGGAGAAGGAGATAAACGCGGTGCACTCGGAGCACGAGAAAAACGTGGCCAGCGACAACTGGAGGCTCGACCAGTTGGACAAGTCCACGGCCGATCCAGGCCACGCGTACTCGAAATTCGGCACGGGCAACAAGGACACCCTCGTCGTCATACCCAAGGAGAAGAACATCAACGTCAGGCAGGAGCTGCTCAACTTCCACGGGACTTGGTACTCGGCCAACATCATGGCTCTCAGTGTCCTTGGAAAAGGTATCATGAGTCATGCGTAACTATACCAAAATCCGAGTAGTACCGTGACAATTTTCTCCCTCTCCGTACAGAGAGCCTCGACGAGCTGGAGAGAATGGTGATCGACAAGTTCTCCGACATCGAGAACAAGGACGTGGAGGCCCCGACTTGGCCCGAGCACCCCTTCAACAAGGAGCACTTTCAGACCAAGTGGTTTGTCGTGCCAATAAAGGACCTGCGCCACCTCACCATCACCTTCCCCATCCCGGACCTGCACAAGCACTTTCGAGCGGAAGTCGGTGTCAACTTTTGGCTCAACGAGCGAACCCTCATATTTACATAATGACTGACAATACAAAACTGGATTACAGCCGGCGTATTATTGGTCGCACCTGATCGGTCACGAGGGCAAGGGCTCGCTACTGTCGGCGTTGAAGGAAAAGGGCTGGTGCAACTCGCTGATGTCAGGCAAGCGGTTCTTTGCCCGGACCATAGACTTCTTCTCCGTCACCGTCGATCTCACCGAGGAGGGCATCAACCACGTCGACGACATCATCACCATGACCTTCCAGTACATCAACTTGATCAAAAAACAGGGTCCCGTCAAGGACATCTTCCAAGTGAGCGCGCGAGTAAACGTCGAGGAAGAAATAGACAAATTTCCAAAAGGCAAATCGTAATCCTTTCAGGAGTACAGCGACATAGCGAGCATGAATTTCCGGTTCAAGGAGAAGTCGACGCCGCGCAACTGCGTCAACGCGACCGTGGTGGCTCTGCAGGAGTACCCGATCGAGGAGGTCCTAAGCGCGCCGAGGCTGATAACCGAGTGGCGGCCGGACTTGATAAACGAGCTGGAGAGCTACCTCGTGCCCGAGAACGTGCGCATACACGTGGTGGGGAAAATGTTCGAAGCCGAGGCCAACAGCGTTGAGCCATGGTACGGCACCAAGTTCCGGGAGGAAAAGATACCCGCCGAGCAGATCCACAAGTGGAAGAACTCTGGACTCAACGAAGCCTTCCACTTGCCGGACAAGAACGAGTTCGTCCCGACCAAGTTCGACATCAAGCCGCACGACAAGGTAGTCGTATAGTTGACGCCCATAGTTTAAGAGGCTTTATTTATACACGTTGCCCTCGCAGGTCGACAAGTTCCCGGTGATAATAGAGGACACCCCGTTCGTGAGGATGTGGTTCAAGCAGGACGACGAGTTTCTTTTGCCCAAGGCAACGATGGTCTTTGACTTTGTGAGGTGAGGGGTTTTTTTTTTTTTTTTTTTACTTTTGGATCAAGTAGTCGATGGCGAGTGAGTTTGACAAGTGGATGCGATTTGTGATTTCAGCCCGTTCGCCTACATCGACCCGATCAATTGTAGCTTGACGTTCATGTTTACCCAACTGTTCAAGGATTCTTTGAACGAGTACGCCTACGACGCGGGCTTGGCTGGGTTGAAGTGGGAACTGAGCAACAGCAAACACGGCATGAGCGTGAGATATTAAACTAACCACAACTGTCGAGAGCTTTTCTGGTTTTTTTTTCCCCACCTTTTAATTTTTTGGACATTTTTCAGTTGAGCTTAACGGGCTACGATCACAAGTTGCACACTTTGTTGGACAAAATCTTGGAGCGGATGGTCAACTTTGAGGTGGACGAGAAGAGATTCGAGATATGGAGGGAGAACGTAAGCCCTGCCAAGTTGCATCTGTGCAGTTGAACGAGAAAATAAACAATCACCTTTTTTTTTTACAGTACATAAGAAGCCTCAAGAACTTCGAAGCGGAGCAGCCGTACCAGCACGCGGCCTACTACCTCGCTGTGCTCTTGTCCGAGCACGTTTGGGTGAAAAACGAGTTGCTGAACACCTGCTCGAGTGAGTCATTTTTTTAATATCTTTAAAAAATCAACTTTTTAAAAAAAAAATATTTCCTTCAATTGTCCAGTGCTGACCGCCGACAAGATGAAGCAGTTCATTCCCCTGTTTATGAGTAAGATGCATATAGAGTGCCTGATTCACGGCAACGTAACGAGGAGCGAAGCCTCCCAGACCGCCAAGCTGGTGGAGTCGAAGTTTGTGAACAGCGTGAAGGACCTGATGCCTCTACTGCCCAGGCAGATGGTACCCTACCGGGAACTACAACTGCCCCAAGGTCCGTACCTCCAGACTTTTGCGTTACGCATTGTAATCGGTAAACTGATTTATCCTTCCGATCACGCGAATCGAGACAAAACGAAATCGTAATTTCAGGTATGACTGTAGAGATAGGTAAAATTTTCACAAAGCTATAAATTGAAGAATGTAAAGAAGCACCAATCCTAGTTGGGATGATGATCTGATTCAGAGTTGATAAAATCGTATAATACAAGTGGATGCACTCGGACATCCCTAGCCCACACACGAGGGTGTCAAGCCAGTAATTGTAATGGTTTGTATCGGTTTCAGGCTGCCACTACCTCTACGAGGCCGAAAACAAGCACCACAAGAGCTCGTGCACGGAAGTTTATTACCAGAGCGGCATGCAGTCGACCGAGAGCAATATGCTGCTCGAGCTCATTAGTCAAATCATATCCGAGCCGTGCTTCAACATCCTACGGACCAAAGAACAATTGGGATACATCGTTTTCAGTGGTATACGCCGAGCGGACGGGGTCCAGGGCCTGAAAATCCTCGTCCAGAGCGGCCACCACCCGCAGTTCGTCGAGAGGAGGATCGACTCGTTCACCAGCCAAATGAAGGTCAGCTCCATGTGGTTTACCTTTTTTTTTGAACCAGATAGCAATTGTGGATTGTTTTTTTTTTTTTTTTTTTTTTTTCAACTCAGGAGCACATAGCGACGATGCCGGACGAGGAGTTCAACAAGCACAAGGAGTCACTGGCGACGCGCCGGCTGGAGAAGCCAAAGACCCTGAGCAAACAGTCCAGCATTTACTGGAACGAGATAAGCATGCAACAGTACAACTTTGATCGCACCAGCATCGAAGTTGCCTACCTAAGGACCATCACGCGCGACCAGATCGTCAAGTTTTACGAAGTACGTCATAATAATAATCTCGAGATTGGTATAGGAACGAATAGTTGAAATTTTGGTTTCCCCGTTGTAGGACATAATCGATGGAAAGTCGAAGAAAAATATCTGCATCCACGTGGTGTCGACCGTCGAGGACGGCCAAGCGAAACAGGACACGCCATTGGGCGAGGATGGCGTTGCGACGTCTAGCGTCGAGGAGGTGCAACGTATCGATGACATTTTGCAGTTCAAGACAAACCACCCGCTCTACCCGATACTCCAGCCTTTCAACAATGTGCCGAGAAAGGGCACGCAGCACCAGTCCAAGTTGTGAACTTGAACATTTTTCACAGGCATTTAGTACAAAATGATATTAAACGCGTTATCGATCAAGTGGTTTTTTTTTTTTATCTTTTTTATTTTGACATGATTTCATTTTACGATTAAAGTGTAAAACGCAACTTGGTGCAACGATCTCACAAAGATATACTCTTGTCTCTCGATCGAACAATAATATTGGTATTTGTAAGTTGGAAATAACATAAGTATTGACTAATATTAGCGGCAAACTTTAGATTTGTAGATAATAGTAACTGATTATAGATTAATTTGTTCTTTGACTCCTTCGACTGAGACGTTTTTATGAATCATCGTGAGAAATTAACGTATGTGAAAAAGATTTACTTTTTTAAGTAGAGGCTGAACCGACGTTTTGTATGGAAATTGTTTAAACTGTTCGTGCAATATGTTCAACAAATCACAACGAATGCGTCAATGCTACAAAGTATTTTTTTTTAATATGCACACGTTCAAGTATAAAATACGATGAGTGGTAAGTTCCATGTGTTGAATTAGTCTAATTATTATTTGTTATCAATGATGTGGTTATGAACATTCTCTATGATTGGCCTATTTAGTTGTCAAAACGATAACTCAACAGAGTACTGATTTTTAATATCCAACCTCCAACCCAAAATGAAAGTGATACCTTGTGTTATTAGTCTTTTTCTCCTTTTACACGCTTTACTTAATACCTCCTGAATAATGTAATGAGAAAATTTTTTATAGCTACATTTCCTTTTATTGCAATTTATTACTGTTAACACGGGTGTTCGTTTTTGATATTTACAAGTACACATGTTTTTAAAACTATAGGTGAAGGTGTAGGATTTTTTTGTTTTTCAAACATCACAATCGAATATTACTTATACATTAATAAATTTAAGTTACTGACGCAAAAAAAAATCGACATCTCTTATTCATAAGATGTACTTGTTTATATTTTGAAATTAATACAATTCCGTTTAAAACAATCATAAATTGTGATTTCATTTCAAAATCCTTGAAAAATAAGACTCTAATCCAACATCCAAGTAATAACATTGAAGATTATTTTAAAAGAAATAACTAAACAAACAAATGTATTCGATTCAAGTTACAGTAAAATAAATATATTCGTATGATAGAAGACTTTGTGCTTTATAATGTCCCTCAAATACGACGCATATATATGGTCCATAAGTCACTATGTACTTATTTACATTATATCGTTTCACACTAAAAGTTATCTTTAAAAAAATAAATGTACGCGGTTGGTGGCATTACGAAGATTCCATAGATATGATATAGTATCGGTACGTTTACAAAGACGAAAAAGTGAACAAAAATATATAAGTAAAATTCTGTTGGCTTCCGGTAGTAAGACGTATATGCTTGAGGATTAATAAAATACCAAAATACTTGTAGCAAAGCATAAAAGTAGTCATAACATCTTAGTTCGCGCGAAACGTTTCAAAAATAAGGCATCCATTAAAAATCTACAAGTCAAACAATTCTAATGGATTAGTTTTTAACGTTTTTAATTCTGGACACACACAATTTAAAAGAGAGGGTAATTAGAAATTAACAATAATAAAATAACGATATAACAATTTTTTTTTCTAGTTGGCCTTGTTTTTTGTCACTATTTCTTTGTTCAAACCGAACAATTCTGGATAGCCAGCCACATTGAGCTGATAATAATTACCACAGGGCATGTTAATTTCCAATTTATACGAAGCTACTACAATTGGCATTGTCTACCTCTAACGTGTTAGTGAATCTCTTAGATAAATAACAATAGAATCTTTATTTCAAGGAAAAAGTTAAATTTTTGAAGTAAAAATCCATTTTTTATCTTTAATTTATAAGAAAATGCTATCATTTTATAGAAATTACAAAAAAAACCCAAAAAGCTTTGTCCGTTTAATTGATAACTTTATAACTATTCTAATGTTTTAACTAATCCACTCTTTTGTGTGTAAGATATTTTTAATACAATATACAAATTTTGCTTTTTTGATCCATTTATAAAAATAATAAATGCATCTGTAAGTGCATACTGACAATTTTTTTTTTCCTTTTGATTGAACATACTTTGAAATTGTCTAAATGTATAATTGTGCAGCTATTTCTACTCTAATCGATATTAAAATATTACAACTATTTTTTTGTGTCTATAAAATCCCAAAAGTGATTAGTAATGAGTTCTAAAAATCAAAATTTTTTCAGTTTCTTTTTTTTTTAAATAGGATTGTTACAAAATTAGCCAATGAAATTTTTTTTTGTTGAAAAAAAGGCCGAACATTTAAATGTTTTCACCATCCAAGTGCAACCACAAAAGTCCCAATCCTGTACTGGTTAGCATTTCAGTTTTTGTCGTAATTTATTTTCCAATGCAACAAAAATATCTAAGTATGCATAGAGAGATCTAATCCGTTTGTCAACAAATACAAACAAATGTACATCAATTTAAGTAAAAAAATCAACAAAAAAAAGTTAATTTTAATAAATATTCTTAAAAATATGTATTATACGGACTATCCATATTAATTCTTCTTCCACTATTTAGAAAAACAATTTTTTTTTCAAATGCTTACTAAACGATATTTTGATTACGCGCGTTGCAGATGGAAAAAATTCTGATAGAAAAAAAGGGGCTATCAATAAACGTAAATTGAGAACTACAATTAAGTATGATATTATACACCCAATACGTTCTTGATTAAAAAAATATAAATCTCATGCCGATAACTCCAAGGCTTTGTTAGAAAAATAATGTTTTTCAACCTATGATTGTCAAATAATAATTTCTATAGTATAAATATCTTATGATTTTATAATGAATTTTAAATTTACAATTTTAACAAGTTTCATGGTTTTATAAAAAATCCAAATTTTAAGTTATTCCATTTATTTATCAATCAAATAAATAAAAAAAAAAAAACTATTTAATACATGAAATTTCGAAAATTCATCTACCTATTTTTTGCGCTAAAACTTAATAAACTGATTGTTATTATTTCATATTTAAAATTAATCTAATGTTGGCAGAAAAGCATTACTGAATAGCTCTAGTGGATTAAATTATTGTTAATGTTGGTTCCATTATTTTTACTTTATCATGGCCGAACCTAACTCTCAAACCAAGAGATAGGTAAACATGTAAAAAAACATGTACCAAGTAGTTTTAAAAATTCCC